TGATTCACTCAAATGATATTGGTCGGGTTGCTGATCGGTATTATAAGAATAACTTTTGTGTAGTGAACCGAAAAATCCGACTATGGACCTTCTGCTTGCCTGAAACTGACTTGACTGAAAAATCATGTATAAGTTAATTATATACGAACATAAAACGTGCAACACAAAACCTTTTTACAACAAAAAAGAGCATGATATTGCAATTCAACGGTAGAATGGTAATATAAAGATATACATCTCACATTGCATATATTGTGAAAGTAATATCGCTAGTATACGTTTCTCTTCTATTCTTACACATACAATACTTTACAAAAACTGAACGGGTTATGTGTTTTCCATGTGGGTAGCTATAAATAATAGGATGATGGTTCGATAGGCTGTGTTGTCGTGATATCTTCTGTTGTATGGCCTCCGTATGCTCTCATTGTATCGCGCGATGTTCGCCTGAGGCTTGAGTGGCAGGGGGTGGATCCCATTTTATTTTTCGTCAACAGCTCGATTGTTCAGCATATAAGCGTTCATTTAACCAGATTGACATACCATAGCAAAGAATTGGCAGCAATGATAGCATCATTAATAGACTACTACCCATCCTAAGAGGCCGTTTAGCAGCCGATTGTGGGCAATTAACTCCAGCCAACATAAAACGAAGCGCTAGTTGAACTCACGCTTAGGGTCGACAAACCACACCGAAGTCGTAAAGGTATTACCACCCGTACTTCATTGCGGGAAACCTTTAAAGCAGCTGTAGAATAGCTGTATCACCAGATACAGTGATCTTAATTCATCAATAGGTGCCTTGGGGCGATTTGATGTTTCGTAATAGATAATGTGACCTAAAATGTCGCTCAAAACAATGGTAGACCAATGTATCTTCAAGAAAATGTAAATATAAATACTAATGTATAATTTATTACGTCCTTAGCAGGCCAATAAGAATATTAGTACAAGGCAAAACGTTCAAGAGTGAAAAGTGAACTCATTCGATAATGAGCTGACTAATTTGCCCGCTTAAAAAGACGAATGTTTTCACAAACCGGGGGAAAAGTAAGCTACGACAAAAGGTTTATTGTGGTTTCAATTGCCAAGTGCTTCGATGATGAATCTAAAGAATCACGTAAAAAAAATCAACCGTCGCCCATATATCATGCAAAATGGCCAGTCGGCTTGTATCGTGGTCGTAATTAATACGAAGAACTGAAACAAGCAGAACACGTGTCGGTCTTCTATTCCGAGGATCCAGAGGTCTATTTTTCGGTTTTTCACTCATGAAATCAACTCGAAAATCGTACATTAGGAAAATTATTGAAGAACGTTTTTATGTTCTGAACGCAAAAGGTTGATTATAGTGTCTTTGATATGAACAACCGAAACCAGTTAAAACAAGGTGGACACTTAATCGAACACAGAACTATACCGGCAATCTGGTCATGACCTCTGGAACTCGATAAGCTTGAATAAAGTTTTCGAGTAAGTATTGATCTCCACTAAGGCAAAGTAACTGACATTAAAACAGCAACTTTACAGCAACTTCTATATAGTCGGTAATAAGAGTTTGCACAAAGCTCTGACAACAAATGTACGTTAGTTTCTAAATTGTTTGATCTGAAATATTTTCGTGTAACAGAAATATTCCAATCGCCTGGACACAATTCTCTAAAACGGGATTGCAGGTCTTATGGACGTCGCTATTTACGTTATATACGGAGCAATATCACGTTGCCCTACTCTGATTAGAATATGCCAAATCAAAAACATTTTCTACTACAAGAATAACCCTAATAAATAGTGTGTCTTTGAAGCCTATGCTCTTTAAAAGATTACGCATTGGGGTCTTGCCTAATCAGTAGCCTAGTACGATGGAAAAGAACGGTCACAACCAGCGCAAATGCAAGCCTAACGAACAATTGATACAATTTTGTCTATAGAAGTAGTATTAAAGTCGATCAGTCGTATTGGAATAAGTGTTTTTAGCTTTTTCCGAACAGCAGCCCAAATCTCAGGCGATTCAGAGTTTTTTTTAACGTTTTTCCCCTATGTTATGGTTCACCTTGAAGTCTGGAAACGTTAAATACGGTGATTCGAGACTGAATTTAGTCTTATTGTGGTTATAGGAGCTGAAATCGATTACGAAATTTACTGTACTGCTATTTTTCCTGCAAACTTTTCTTTATGATGTTATTCTTATGATGCTAATTTGTCTACCACACAGAGCCGGCAGTGCGTCTAGAAAGTACGTGTGTTGATTTGCTCTTTTGTCGTCTTCTTGAGGCACTTGATCAAAATACTGAAACACTGCCTCCAGACGAACGTGTAGTAAGCAGGTGCTCCGCTGGCTCATTCGCTGTGCACAATAACTCTCTAAGATTACCAGTTTAAAACTGAGGTGGAGTACGACACATAGATATTTATATCTGTACTGCGTCCCTGGTCGTTGGCATTGTAGAACCAGATGGACGATGTGCTACATTTTCCGTCTAGCGACGAATCGTATCCCATCTACTTGCTGACGGTGATAGTAGGCGACCCAACATAAAAACCGGTCCCAAAATTGACGTTAGGATCCTTCATACCTTAGATAATATAATGAAACAGCAACAAGCGTGGTCATGAGAACTGATATAGCACACAGCAGATGTGCATGCAAACGTCATCTTGACCCAACGGTTGCTTTCGTTAGCTTGTTTTAACATGAAACATATTAAGCAGGCGAAGGGCTGAAGAGACCAAGGATTGCTGGTTCAAGCCCCGCTACGGGAGATATAGCCATTCTGCGAAATAAAAAAAAGTTTACTGATAATGAATATTTGAAAACATATAAATATATATATGGAATTTTGTGATCTGTTTAAGTGTTTAAGTAACTCGAAATGATATATCCTTTTTAAAATATATTTAATTCTAGCTCTGTTCACGTTTGGGAAGTGTCTAAACAGATAGAATAATAGCCTACTATATAAACTTTAACGTTGACTTGTTCAACTATGGAACAAAATCGAGTAGAAATTTCGTGCAGATTGTTTAAATATACTTCGTAACGAGTAATTATCTTCCAACTATTGATATTTGATAGATACCTCTTGATTGACCTGACCTAAAATGTGTTAAGCAAACTATTTATCTTGTAAACGAAATCGTTCTCACGCTGGTGCGCTGAGAGTGTTGTGTGCTAATGAAGATGTTTTCCTTAAACACTAGTAACTCCCATTCCAAAACTGCAAAAAAAAAGGCGTTCATGAGATGTTGCAGTTCTCTGCGAAATTAAATAAGGTTTGGCGTTTTCGGACGCGCTCACTTTTCGTGGGTATTTTTTCTTTCGTTTTCTGTAGATTCAGATTATGGAGTTTTATATTTAAATAGAGCTCTATCTTTTTTTAGCTAAAAAGGGATAAATCATTCAGAAGATGACATAAATGTCCATGCTTTATTTATCAAGCGTAAACGATAAGAAGTCGCTCTATTTTTTTTTATAAACCTGTAAAAAATAGTGTCAGATGGCGTTAACTCGTTAACGTTATTCCATTCCTTAATGAGCAGGTTGCAGAATTTCAACGAAGATTTGCTTTGTTTTAAAGAGTCCTTTTTCTTAACTTTTCCTCGCTATTTATTTGTTTCAAAATGTTTTGTTTCCATTCGCAGTAAAAGGCAACCAAAACATTTCACAAAAAATGATTTTGAAAACATCTCGTTTTCAACATCCTTTATAGTTGACCACGTTGTCCTTACACTATCGGAATAATAGTTGATCACTAATACAACTAAATTTAATAGTGAGTTAAAATATACACTGTAGCCGATAAAACAAGTGTTCGAATAATGTCAGTGGATGTTACTGCACAAAATCTTGTGTTGTTGCCACATCGTGTCCACAAAGGTTGATTAATCTGGGGAATCAATTTATTGGTTTCCCACAGCAGAGTGAACTGTGAACTAATCAAATACGCGTAGAGGAACATTTGAAACGTGACACATTCCGGAGGTAAGCTCAGTAAAAGCTTCTCGATGAAGCAGATTCAATCGTTCGAATGATGTTCGCCAAATATAGGAATCGTGTTCTTTTTTGTTGGTATTGTTGGCCCTTACAATAGGCAGTCGGACATCATCACAGACGTAGAATGAGAATTTGATAGTGAATGGTCCGCAGCTCCCATTGAGATACATAAACAACTGCCCTCGAAACGGTAAAATGAGGTCCTTAGGTAGCTATGTAATACCGAGCTTAAATCGGCCGAGGTTTGGTGGTAGCCTGATAGCCAGCCTAAGACTAGGAACTAAACATTGTCGTTCTGCTCTTTCTGATCTGAATAGTAATATCGGCTAGCTGCTAACCCATACACTGTCCATGAAGTCCAAACGTGTACATGTATGTGTACTTTGTATGCTAATCGAAAAATTATACCGGCAAACTCATACATTGGGGGGCATCACAATTTTATCACGCAATAGCAACTGTGCAGATAGGCACACTCGAATGGGCACGGCTGCAGAAGTGACGATGAGGGTGCACACGCTCGCCTTGCATCCTTCTCACGTGCACTTCGACACTGCACAATAGGTTCAACAGGAAAATACTACCAAGCAAACCCACCTCGCACATTATTCAAGTTTGAAAAGGTAGTCTGCACACATCCTTGTTTAATGAGTCAACTATGATACTTTTGTTTTATTTATTATATAAGTTATTCCGTACAAAGCAAATGGTTTGTAAAGGTATTCAATGTTACAGGTTTAGAATATATTATGTATTATTTATGATAGATACAATTCTTAGTATGAAACGTTCAGAGTTGCTAAATTTAAGTGCGTGTTCACATGCTTTACTGGATAGCTTTTCATGATTTTTGGATACATCTACCAAGTGACATCGTTTATGGATACGATGTTTCTGGGTGCTATAAAATCTAACTGATAAAAGTTTCCTCAATAATAGTCAGGAACTACCTTTATAAACGTTGGTTATGATTGTTCTAACTGTGGAACGCTTTTGCCAATTTCAGGTAAAGATTTGGTTTCAGAACCGAAGGTCGAAATGTAAAAAAATGCTTAAAGCATCTGCAAACAATCCTCAGGCAGCGGCAGCGGCTCTCGGCCTATCGCAGCCGGTGACCCCTAACGGTGCGCCTGCTACACCTGGTACTCCTACAAGTGCTATGCCTCCGAGTGGCACGCCTCCAAGCGATGCATCCCCATCACCCCAAACACCTCCGACCCCATATCACCCGAATGGGCCTCTTGGGGCTTCTCTCGGTGGACCCCTTGGAAGCGCTTTAGGAGGTCTTGGAAGCCACCACGGGCTAGGGAGCAGCGATGGCCATACACCGGCACACTCGTTGACACCCCCGCCTAACTCATGGGATATGCCTACCCCAATGAGTAATAAAGCTCCTACTATGATGCCTGGCTATATGTCGCAGTACCCGGGGTGGTACCATGGACACCCGGCAGGTGATCCGAACCAACAGGTCCTCACCTAGGAGTCCTCCTCGACCTCATGCTCTTCAGACGACAGCTCAGCCTACAAGTTACAGGCCCCCAACCTATCGCAATGATGTTCTTCAGTCTATTGAATCTTGGTACAGCCTCATTTGAGGTAGTTTAGCAGAATTTCTGAAACAGCATTCAAATTTAGTAAAAACTAAACCGTTAGCGGGAAACGTTTTATGAAAATATACGAAAAGAGGATATTAGGACAGGCTGATGTGCTCCTTATGAGTTGACTGAAAAAAGTTAATGTTATTTATTTGTAGTCGTCGCGAACGCCGACGCGCGAACCCGTGAAGCCGGCCCGTGAAACCTAATTAGGTAGAATTTAAAGCAATCGACAACGACAGACCTTGGATTATCAAAGGAATAAAGTATTCTGGAATGTGCTGAGGGGGCAGAATTAATGTAATCCCTAAATAATTCATCCTAGGCGGCATCTATCCTAAGACTCAAAAACAGCAAATGCCCCTAGCAGGATTTTATGTATATTACCCTGTAAAGTTAAATGGAGAGACGTAAAGGCAACGGAAGGTAGCAGAAATACTGCACAGTACAGACAACACAATCACGAACAATTGCTATAATAAATTATTAGCTTATACACTAAGCAGATCATCTCTGTAAATTTATCTGCTAGAAGATGTTATTATTTAGTGCGCGAGGTTTTTAATTTTACTCGATATAGTAATTACACAGCTCTCTGCCACGTCCCTAAAAGTCATGTAATCTAATGTAATTTAAGTAAATGCGAAACCCGTCAAGGTGACTCCTAAAAAATACAACATCATCACAACTGCTCAAAGCTGGTGAGCTTTGGTAAGAGTACTTGTGTAGAAGGTGCAACCATGAAACGAACCTGGCCAGGATAGCGTTAGGTGCAATCGGTGAGAATATTCACTTGAGTTCCCTTCTATACGAGTGGGTAAGCAGAAAAAAGACAAATATTTTTTCGATAAAGAGCGCAGAGGTTATGGGAATGCCTGTGTGAGATCTATCAAATAGAAGACTTGAGCAATAGAGTTCTGAAATAAAGCTCAATTTGTGTTGATTTGGTAAATGGTTGGGTTAGAGAGCAACTATATAGGCAATTGACGACTACGTATAAACGCTGAATATTCAGTTCGATGGTAAGCGAAGTTCAGACATGATTTCCAAAACGTGTTATGTGTGCACCGCTCGTGTTACCCGAAGTCTACCTAAATGTAACGTTGTTTATATCTGTGATACCCATTGACCTCAGCGCCGTCATGCGTCATTTAAAGGAGGTCAGTCAATGTACTAATAACAAGCCCCAGCAGAAAATTAATAACAGCAAGAGTCAAACAACAACAATAGTGTAATCAGTCTCGTAATCACACAAGATGCTCAGGAACTAAGTACGATAATAGCAAGGAGATGGGAATTGAGAGTGAAATACAAGATGAGGGAATTTGATCTAAAGTGAATAAGATTCCGGTGTGGCAGCAACTAAACAATCGTGTCAGCTCTGCAAATAGTTTTCTCAAAATGTGACGCCAGGTTGTACTAGGGAATTCGACTTTCTAAAGTCAATTATGTATAGGAACAATGAATATAGCATGAGATCAGCATTGCGACTGCACATGTTAATAGTATATTGCCATTGTGAAATACATCTACATAAAGAAAAACTATAATTAAAGCGTAAACGAAGCCGAATGCGGTATTCCCATAGAGATTCACGGATGACGTAGGCTCATTAGTACAAAGCGTAAAATCTTAACGCTATAGATGTCATTTTCAATTATAGACGTATTGTGTACCAATACGATGAACAACAACTAATGAAGCGGAAAACAGTAGATACTTGCATATGCGATGGGCCCACTGGGAAGTATGCACTATTTCTACGGGTGATTTTCTTTACAAAAATAGTAATGAAATTACATTGATAGCAGAAACAACGTTTTGGGTAGTGGAGAATTAAGTAAGCTTAATAACAGAAGTATAATGATTAATAAATAAGAGGTGAGACACCGGAGAACCAACGGGAAGCGAAGGACAAGCAGATTTATGTAAATATCCTGTATATATAAATAACTTGGTAATAAAAGCATATAGTGTCATTAGCAATTAAATATATGTTTTCCATAGTTCATGAAGAAACTAGAAAACTCCAACATTGTTAGAAAATGCAAATGCACACCCCGCGCGTTTGCTATGATAGGGCAATAATTTTCGTCTAGCACAGGGAAATGTTTTAAAACGAGGAACTTGTGGATTGATATAAAGGTTCGTTCAAACCATTGAACACTCAATAGAACGTTCTTGCTTAAGCCGCACTTTTCTGAAACTTTCCTAATTTTTGGCAAATGTATCTGTAATATAGTATGATACAAAATAACGAATAAAGTACGAAAAGTTGGTCCATTAACGTAAATGTAGCAGTCAGGATGTATTATAAATACTTTGTGCAGATATTGTATATTGGTTTATAAAAAAGTGAACTTTTCTTATTCACATAAAATATTGTCGTGGGCGGGACTTGAAGCACCAACCCCTCTTTTTTTACCAGCTTGGCCGTTCAAGTCACATCATCGTCGGTGTAAATTACAAAAATTCATATTCGATGTTAGACGCGATATCTGGAAACAAGATTATGAAAAATACGTTATGAGTGGTTTAACAACAAACGATACTTTCGGTCACCTTCACACGGTCATCATTATCTGGTCTCGCTTTAGAGAGGTGTAAGTCCGCTCCCAATTACGTGCAATCTTTTTCACTGACTTAAACTAAACTTTAAACTTCCAAGAATAGATTGTCTGTAAATTTGAAAACATTACTTCGTTTACTCTTTGTCGCCAGAAACTATTTAGGGTGTTAACTACGCAGTTAGGCCAGTTCAATACCGTTTACACTTAATTTGTATGCAAAGCGTATGTTTTAGGCCCAAAATGCCAACGTTGAACTTAGCAAACACGCTTTTCAGACACGAATTGTGCACCATACATGACTTCGTTGCTTCGCTAGCTCTTTGACTTCGGCACAAGGTATAATAAAATGAGTAAATTTTTTCACCAGGAACATTCGTCTTTAGAGTCTTAGTAAACCGAAATTCGACAAGTGTATGAAAAAGAGAAGACGCTCTTGAATGTATATAGACGCAAATAAGGTACCATTTTAGGAAATCGAAAATTACTTTTTAACCGACCTAACCAAAAAAAAGCAAATAGTTAGATAAAGTGTTTCGTATGTATTGGCACGGACATTCCCAGAGAAACGCGTGTGGTTATTTATAGCATTTGCTGCGATTATTCAATTCAGAACTGAGATCACTCGTAAGTCATTTTTAGAGAATCTTTCTTCAAAGTAACGTATAATTTTTCGTTGTAACAGTTAGTAAAGCTTAATATAAATATCGTTACTGAAATTTTGTTGTAATACAAAAAAAAATATAACGGATTTACATTTTGGACGAATTGCAGATTAAATTGAATCTTGACCTTCTATGGATACTCTGCTTTGGCGCATAAAAATGTTTTTCAGATTCTTCCAAAGCCGTGTCATGATTAATAACAGTACCATCGATTCGATAAGTTTTTAATTCAGAAGAAAAAATTGGCCGTCAGATAACCTTATAACTGTCGTGACAAACTGCCCGCCACGATTCGCCCACGCTTAGGACTGCATTCTGTGTGCCTGTTTGCGCGGATTTCGTTACTTTGTAGGTTCAATTGTCTCGGCAACCACCTGCCAGCGGCAACAAGAAATACATATTTTTTTCATTTTTTATGATGTTCCTCGGAAAAAGGTGAAAAGCAACACTAAAATATACCTACCAAATTTCCATTATTAAATTTTTCGTGTTTCAAGTTTTACGTTTGGCATCGCCGTTAGACATTCCATTAGGCGGCTGGCTGTTTCTCAACATGAAACAAGGTGTGTCTATGCCGGGATTCGGATCTAGACTATAACGTGAACCTAGAATCTATTGCTAAATTCGCTAAATATTTCGCGAGCAGCAGATTCTTACTATCGAATATAATCTAATCGTTTCGATTTTATGTTTGAGTATCTCGCTTTTCTGTCGCGAGGACGGAAGAGAGTGAAAAATGAAGCGTCGTAGAAAGACACTTTACATACTCCTTCGTGCTGGTTCCTAAAAAGCCTTTTTTTTTTTTTTAAGTCAAACAAGCTCTTCACTTAAACCCATTATGCTTATAAGTTTTTGATATTAAAACTATCTCTAACCAAAGGGCCTTGAAAAATTGATAGAATTCTACATTTAGAAGCGTAGATATTTTATATTAGCTTTGAAATTTATCAAATTTCACATTAAAATTTTATCTTTATTTTTCTTAATGCTTTTTAATTAGTAGGACGTTCAATTAACCTGTTTCCTTGACCTCTTTAACAAGTTACCCTTTGCGGTTTTCTCGTGGTCGTCAATGACACTGCCTAGAAGAGCGGCTTTCGTCTGTAAAAGTGCTTTCTGATATACCCTTATCTCTGTTCTTTTCAAGGCTTGCGAAATTATCTTTCATAATTATTGTACTAAGCCAGGTTGTCATCCATATAATAGTTACAGGCTTTGTGCCCAGTAAGCACCTCCTGATAATTTTTTGGAAATTAATGTATTCACAGGGTTTTTAAATAAAATCGAACTGGATAATATTTATACGTTCGAGCTGGGTAAAGGAAGTTAATATTGTAGCTATTAAAAAATGTTTTTCAGACATTTTTCAGGTCAAAAATGCCTTGCCTTCACCCATTATGGCAACGATATAGTTAATGCAGAAGCGTTCGAGTTTCTAATCGAGCTTTCTAAATCTATCACCGCCTTAACAATTTCAAGATAGGCACACCATAATATCTAAAACAGTTACTTCAAAAGAAATAACGGTGAGACAAAACTCTTAAAACTAGTTTACTGGGGAGTTGTCTTTTTCTACAGCCACCTACTTTGTATTACAGCACTACTTTTATGTTGATGTCTAGTGTGCACCAGTATAACCATATCTTTTTAACCATACGTGTACCCAGTAGGGAGTAATATTTCCTTATTTTAACGATATTTTTTTCTAGTCTTCCGGTAACCAGCATTTTAACCATACGTTATGATCATATCTTAGGTATTTAAATAAGTCCACTCTAGCAATCCTTTATTCGATTTAGTTCACTATAGGAAAAACATTTTTTCCTCTTTACTGCTTAATTACCTTCATATTCTATTTAAACACGCTCGTCCAAGTGGAAAAGTGCATTTTTGACACTTTTTTTTGTTTGTCAGGATCAAAAAGCTTCTAAAGCGGCGTGAGATATTTGTGCTGTGAACGGTGAGGACTTCAAAATTGAGACGACCTGTCTAAATTTCGCTCAATCCAACAATAGTTTTGGACGTGGAGGACAGACTCCTCACCCGAGGTTGATGAAGCCCGACTGAAAATATCTTTGGATAAAGATGGTCCTCAAACAACTCGTGCATTGACTGAACAAATGGGCTACGAAGACTTGACTAACACTTTGTTTGGCCCCGGGCAATATGCAGCCGCAACGATTATCTCTGTGTACAGAATTATTACGGGTAACAGGGGATGATATCTTGACGTTAATATGAAATAGTGAAAAGAATGGCTGGCTCCAGTAAATACACCTAAGCTCGAAGTTCAAAAAACATGACCTGTGTTTCGTAGGGTTGAAACGGTTTCATACATCAGGGAATGCTTGGAAAAACACGGCCACCCACAAGGATCTATATATGGCTTACTTGCACATATTAAACGAGACTACAGTATATAAAAGATCTGACAGATAAGACCAATGCATATTTCCTTATGATGATGCCAGGCAGCACATTTTAAAGATAATTAAAACCATTCTGAAAGAGCTTCAGTGGGAGGCTTTTTTGCACCCACAATATTTTCCAGACCTCGCGCCAACATATCACTATTTTTTCTAATCAGTGACTACTAAACACGTGCCAGTCAATCTCAACGACTCTTCAAAACACGTCTGACAAATCCTTCGATTCTACACTTGCGATTTCTAATAGTACGAAATGAAAAAATTGTTGAGAGGTGGAGAGATCGTAGAGAGTGAAGAGAAATACGTAATGAGAATTGATTTCTTGTTATAGTTCGGGCAAGATGTTGTGTTTCTGATTAGTTTAAACGAAGATATCTTATATGTAAATACTATACGGACTGCACGATATCGACGGGTTCGCTTGATTCTGCGCTATTATTGAAAATTTCTGTTTTTAAAAAAAAGAAGCAAGAAGGAAACTTATTACCAAAAAATGCTTTTTATTTTCGAACCTGAACAAAAGAGCGTTTGGTACCAATAAACACGCCGCTTGAAGGTACGTTTGGCTGTTATCGAATGTATGGTGTAAGTAACCACTCCTCAGATAACAAAAAAGTTCGAGTTCCGCTGCCAGTTACGAGTCAGCAAAGTTTTTTTTATTAGAGTGAGGAAAAGGGATGCTTATACGTGTCATGTGAAGGAAGAAGGACAGAAAATGTTTCAGTTTCAAGCTCTCTTGGGTGTTTGAGAGCCAAGACGTTAATTTATCCTATTATCTGTTTAATAGGCTAGCCAGCAGGCTTGTGGCGGGCGTATTAGTAGCTCTTTTAGATGGAGGTCCACTCCGTATGTTGAAAGTTGCCTGTAATATTGTCATTACATCAATCAAAAACGTTTCAGTCAATCTGCGTACCAAAGCGGATGTCACACCTTGGATGCTTAAACGCATATGTTATTTTAGTGATCCTCATCCTTAATAATGAGTATTGGCCTGTTGTTCAACCTCTAAATACATTTCTGTGAATAATCCTGGCCGGATTCAGTGTGAGAAGAGGTTGGACGAAAGGAGGTTGCGAACAAAAGAAAGCTAAAGGTTCCACGAGACATGACTATTGACATATCCCAAAACGATCCGTTGTCATGGGTATGGCGAAATTTGCTTTTATGTAACGAGGCGAGCACGGCGGTATAATGCACACAAATACACTAGAAAGATGCCATTGCGTACTCCATAGAGAAGTAAAGTTCCAGATGAAACACATTGATAGAGTGAACAAAAAGTAAAATCGCAGTCACAGAATTAGTATTCATATCCCTTACTCTGAAGCATTCCGAATGCTGGCCGTCACTGTGGACAAATACCATACGGCACTAGCGATTGAGTTAAATCCGGTAAAGTCACT